AAAGAGGAGCGAGCACCTGCGCTCCACCCATTCCATTGTATACAGTCCAGGATCCCTGCCCAAGGAATGCTGCCACCCACAATTAAGATGGGCCTTCCCACATCAATCAACCCATAAAGATAATCCCCCCACAGGCATGACAGCTGGTCTCCTAGGTGACTCCAGATCCTGCCAAGTTGGCAGTTAACACTAGTCTTCCCAGAGACATTATTTGACTACTACACGATGGACAACATGCTGACCTGCTCCTTTCCATACCCATTTGCTTCTCCAGACCCTTCCAGAGGCGCTACGAATGCATATGGCTCCGGTTTCTTTGCAAAGCGCTCCTCCTGCCGACGCTAAGCGTGCTAATGCCTAGTGGCTTCCTCTAATCACCATCCCCCTCTCTATCTCTCTCTTCCATTTTTGAGCTCTAACCTAATTTCTGAGAAGTTGTGCTACTGGCCACTGCTCTGCTAATCAGGTGCCCAGCTCCGGCACTCTCCTACAGGGGGTAACTGATAAGCCTTTGTTGCAGGCTGCAGTCCTAGGAATTGCACAGCACGTAGCACCGACCTGGCCTCTGTCTGTAGGTACCAGTAGCACAACCCCACCCTGAGCTGTCAACATTTGCCAAATACCATGTGGGTACAAATTCTCAGGTTGAGGCCTACCACTCCTGCTCATGTCACGATGCTCTTGCAGGCGCAAGAGCCAACAGATGCTCCTGAGTCCTGTCATCCTGGGCTTGAGCATGAGCGCCACTGACCCCCGCCCGCAGCCTTCGTAGAGTTCTCTTCTTGCTATGCAAACAGGCTGCTCCCTTGGTCTGCTTCTCCTGCAGTGACACTCTCCCATGCTCCATTTTGGATTGTTAACTGTTGAAGTCCCTTGGCATTGAGTCTGGGTCTCATTCACCTCTACTAGCCACCCACAAACAAAAGTAACATCTCTGTACTTCCTCTGCAGGTTCCAGAACTGGACATCCACCTGCCTGCCACATCACCATTCAACAAGACAATGACCAGAATCACAATCGTTCTTAATCTTCTCTTCCGCAGAAGTTCTCAGGAGTGAAGGCATCTCTACCCACCTGCTGGGTGAGAGGCAAGGAGGACCAAAGTTGTCTCTGGCACTTGGTTCCCTTACTGAAGCCATCCTATCCTCACTGGAGCTCACCCCCATCCAGGCCTAAGTCAATCTTCCTTCACCATGTCTTTTTCCCATCTCCAGCCATGCCACCTCCAATGCAGGTCTCTGCTTCCTAACCAATGCCACATCTCTGCCCCAATCAGTTCCATAGGCTGCAGCAAAAGTTGCTGTCAAAACATTAACGTGGGGTTGGGAACGTGCCTCCGTGGACAGTGTTTGCTGTGTAAGCATTTAGCCCTGAGCTGATCCCCAGGACCCAGGTAAAAACCCAATGCTGTGCTATGCGCCTGTAATCCCAGTGCTGGGAAGTAGAGACAGGAGGACCCTTGGGGGGTCTACTGGCCATCCAGTCTAGCTGAACTGGTGAGCTCCAGATCAGAGAGAGACCATTTTAAAAATAAGGTGCAGAATAGTCAATAGACATTGACCTCTGACTCCACACAGGTACACACATAAACGCACACCACCACAACCCTGAACACATACATACACAGCAAAACAAACGAACAAGGAAATGTGATCTGGTCATTCCTCATTTCTTGAAACAATCTGGAAACTTCCCACAGTCCTTCAAGGAACGAAGTCAGCACTGGGCCCCACATGGTACATGACCTGGCCTTCTCCAGCCCCATGTTTGCTACTCAGACATGCTGTGTGCCCCTTCCTGCACCAGGGCCTTTGCTCGCGCAAGTCCACCCATCTGATACCCCCACCAACCTGTACATTGGTGGTGTGATGGCTATTCTTGATTGTCAACTGATTACATCAGGGATTAACTAAAATCAAAATATGGAAGGGAACACCTGTGAGGGATTTTTGTTTAATTTGTCGTGGGAAAACATAGCTTTTTCCAGATCTTTGAGGTGTGAAAACTCACCTCTAATCTGGGCTACACCTTCTGTTGGAAGCCAATATAAGGACATGGAAGTAGTGCTCTTTTCCTGCTTGTCCTTGCCTTGCTAGCAAGTCTGTTTTTTAACTGGCATTAGAGCTACTTCTTCAGGGTTCCGATGTATACTGAAGAACAGTTGAGACATCCAGCTTCATGGATGGATAGATGGATGGATGGATGGATGGATGAATTGGTGGGTGGGTGGATGGATGGATAGAAGGGTGGGTGGGTGGATGGATGGATAGATAGGTGGATAAATAGATGATGGATGGATGGATGGATAGGTGTATAGATAGATGATGAATGGATGGATGGATGGATGGATATATAGATGATATATGGATGAATAGATGGATAGATGGATGGATAGATGGATGGATAGATGGATGGATGGATAGATAGATGATAGATGGATAGATGGATGGATGGTTAGGTGGATGGATGGATGGATGGATAGGTGTATAGATAGATGATGAATGGATG